ATGATTAACATAAGTATCTCACTAGACAATATATTTAAAATATTTAATAGGATAATATATGTAAGAATCTTTGATAACTAGGTAGTCATTAATAAAAAAATAAAAAAATTTCAAATTGTAGAAGATTCAGACGCATTGGAGTGTGGATGAAGTCAGTTCTTATCCGTGGAGTGAATGACGGGTATTTGCTATTCATGATAGCTTCGTTCCATTGACTTTCCTATTCTCATTTTTAAGTCGTGTTTAATTTTATTTATTTTAATAAAATGTTTTTTATTTTATAACTTCATAAAAAATATATAAAAAAAAATATTTCTCTAACATTGAGATAAAACGAACATGCACTAGGCCATGAGCTAAAGCATAAAATGAGCAAATTAACCTGAATTAAGTAATTAAGTCCCACATTGGTATTAGACATGAACTAGATATTAATAAATTTTAAAATTAAGACAATTAGTCAAGCTGCTAAGGAGTTAACAAGTCTACAGAATAGTTGAGTTTCTTTGCTACATAATTTTGATTTTTATATATTTAAACAGTATTTGTACTGCTTTTTGCCTCACTTTTCTCTGCCTATATTTTATTCTTTCTTATCGCATTATGTTAGTCTTTATATCTTTTACCTCTCTCGTTGTCAGTCACTAAGTACATACACTTACTGATATACAACGATCTTTTGGTTCACTAATTTTTTAGTCACTTTTTGGGGTTAGCTACCTTGTTTCTGTATGAAGGCAACTGTGTGCAATTACGACTGCACAAGTGGTTTCTTTTCTTAAGCATAAAAATGCGTAACTGATTGTTGTCAATTACGTATATTAATATTTGGGGAGTCATTGCAACAATTTAGTAAGTAGCATCAGTAATTAGTATTAGAGCTAGCTATTCAAATTTGAGACTTTAATAAACTCATTAATCAAATTGGTTTAACTAAACTTACGATGAAATAGAATGTTTGCACTTGAAATAAAATGGAATGCAGTCTACAAAATACGTCAATCGGTAGAACAAAGTTTATTTCATGGTAAATTATGAAGCACAAATTATGAAGCACAATGATTCCGTTAAGCTATACTAATTGTTCATCCCTGTTGCATTCTTCACAGCTTCAACAGCTTCTTGTGCTTTAGCCTTTATTTGCTGCCCACCCTATACATAACAAATATAAGCTTTACTGTGAGTGTGCAATTTATTAAATATCACAAAAGTAAAATAAAACAAATTCTTGAACACAAAAATGAGACAAGAATAAATTATTCTTTTGATTTTAGTGTGTATATTTAATATTCATGTATATAAAAAAAATATATACAAGTGACAAATATAGAATTTTCTTTATATTGTCAATATTTTTATGTTCAAACAGCATAATTGTAAAAATAGATTAAGGGTCCGTTTATTGTATAATTGACTACAACTAATTTTGATAAAAAAATTTCAACCATTTAACTTCATTGGGTTATATTAAGATTAATCTTAACCGTATTTTTTTTCCCTTAAAATTCATTTTTTTCTTTAGAAAGTAAGGCTAATTCTTCAACTTTAAATCGAACTGATAAAGAAGATGCATGTTTTCGTTGTATCTTGCATATTAATTAATCACATTATTATTTGATCAGGACAAATGATAACAAATAAAACTAAGAACCTCCTGGATGGATTCTTGAGCAGACTGAGCAGCATTACTAGCCTTGTCCATCAAGGTGCTAGCCTTTTCCTGAAACAGCACAAAAGCTTGTTTATGAGTTATCATAGTTGAGAACATAAGAGACCATAGCAGTGAAAAAATTAAGAGACCTGAGCTTGGCCCTTGGCTTGTCCTGCTTGGTAGCTCATGTTTTGGGAGTCCATATCTTGATTCTTCTATTAAACTGTTGTAATTGAACCAAATACTGTGAAAATCAAGTGTTGTTTTAGATTTTCTTATGCAAAATTCTGGCTTTCTTAGGTAACTTATATAGTTTCTTAAGGCATTGCACCATTCAACACGTGTATTTTTATTTTTATTTTCATGTTTTGCTACACAAATTGCGATTCATATTTTTCTCCTTCATATTCGTTTTCAAGCGCACATGTCATGCCATTCTTAGAATGCAACTTCGGCACCTAGCTTGTAGATCAGCATATATGCACATGGAAGAGATTCCTTCACTGGTTTCAACTCCTATACCTTAGCTTGGACGAGTTCTTATCTTATTTGCTAATAATAGGGTAATTTTAATTTGATGTATGGCTGAAATCTTCGGTACAAAAATGTCCACACAATAATTCAGTGTGTGATATTATGAGTGATGTATGTGTACCGTTAATCAATCTATCCAAGGTTTATCATACAAGCATGCCTGCTGGTCAAACTAAGAGAAAAAAATGGTAGAAGTTAGGGGTATCAATAAATCAAGTTTAGTTAAACATTTGAAGTTGAAGCTTAACTTTTGAAAAAAAAAATGGATGCTTAAGTTCAATTTATTTATCTAAATGAGATAAACTTAAAAGTTGAGATTAATTTGATCAAAATATATAAAAGTAAATTCACATATTAATCTTTTGAGATAGTAAGCATATTACATAGTCTCTTACTTTTTATAATTATTTAGTTAGTCTCTTATATTACAGTTTGTCATGCAATTATACTCCCACGTTTATTAATTAATGCATAACAAATGTTAACTTTTACAAACATGTTACTTTAATCTGTAGAGTCGTTGTCACAACTACTATGGCTCTAGTCTGCTACTCATATGGGAATCTCATAAACTCAACTTGTTTTTCCTTTCCTCACTGCATAGTTGTCTTTATTGTTGAGAACCTATGTTTGAACTGCTAAATCTTACTACGATTCCTTTCTTGGCAAGTAATAACTTTCTCTCTCTACGTCCCAAGACTTAAAAATTATGCCAAATCTCTTTTGGCATATTCCTGTAAAAGATAATAAAATATTATTTTAGTATCGCGTTGGCTTCATATATACACATTCAAAATTGGGTTGTTAATATGAGGAAAAAGGAGGTACAAGTTTGGTTTGCAAAATTCTCACTTGAATAACATATTGTACCATTGTCGACTATCATAATTGAGACTAACGAGGCAATTTTAAAAAGTTATGGACTAATATATCTAACATTTAAAATAAAATAAGTTAGGTTAAGATAGATTTTATATAAATAGATATAATTTGTATAATTATTTTGAAATCTAAATTTAGTATAATATGTGTTATAGACTTTGTATTAAGCTTAATCTAACATTTTAAAAAATTTATTTTAGTCTATTAACTTTTTAAATAACTTTGTATTAAAATTTTTAAATTAAGAAACTATTTTAATTAAAGAAGACATTTTGTTAGCATAAAAATAAAAAAATAATAAAAAAAGTTATATATAATATAAACAAGTACATAGGAAGATTATAGATAAAATAACATAAATGCAAATCAACTTTATGTGTATAAGATAGATGAAACAATAATAACAAAAAAGATTCTAGTAAATATAACTCTCTTTTTTAGAGGGTATGTAGTAGAGACATTATTTAATTCCAACAAAAAGGATTATAATTTCTAATTTAAAATTTTATTCATTTTAAAATTTAATTTATTTAATATAATATTATATTATAATTTTTATATAAAATTATTTAATATATTTTTATAAATTTTAAATAGATTATTCTAAAAATTAACAAAGTTTTTTTAAAATTTAAGATTAATCTATTTAATTAATTAAATTTTTAAATTAAATTTATGAATTAAATAAATTAAGTCAAACTAAACTTTAAAAAAAGTTAAACTTAAATTTCTATCAAATAGTCTAACGTATTTTCATCATAAACCAATACTTTCTATCTTTACTCAATTTAAAGTTTGAGTTTAACTAGTTCATTATTTTATTCATTACTCTATTTTTGTTTATAAATTTTTTTATTAATTTAATTATTAATAAATAATTGCTGGTAATTTAATAAGAAGTAAAGTATTATAATAATAAATTTTGATTTTATCCAAACAAATTACGAAGAAACGAGAGCAATGTCCATTGTGTGGCTGTTTCCTTGCAGTGTAGTTTAAATTACCAATAATTACTTATTATATCTTTTTAGTATTTCAAACTTTCTTAAGACTTTTATTATACTTTATATTGTATTTTTATTTAAATATTTTATTGGTATAAATTCATTGTTGAAACAGCTAGCCATTGAGAGAGAGCGTCTTAAGCAGCAGGTAATTACTAAGATAGAGATTGAATCATAAATCTTTCATAACCTGTCCTATCTGAGCATGCTTATAGACTTCTAGGATTCAATTCTCTCAAATCCCTTGTCATACTGTTTCAAGAGTATGTCACTTGTCTTCACTCTTTGATCTCTTTTGATTACTAAGATTTCACAAAAATTCATACACATCTCACCCCTATAAACAGATGGATGCCTTGGTAAGGATGCCTGCATCAATGACATAGTTTACATGCCTACCTTTCCATACCTTTGTGAATGAGTTTAGTCATTTTACTACTTTCATATATTTGTGTTCATGTGCATATGCACGGTATATGCTCGACTAGACCAAGCAGTTTTTTCCTTTGAATTTTCCACTCTCTCTTAAGATCCTTTCAGTATTTAGAACTCAGAATCATAGTTAAGATAGACTGATGAATAGGTTAAAAACAATTGTACTTTTATTTGACCTGCTGAAAATGTTGTGGTTTTATACAGTTATCTTCCCTCGCAAGTGAGAACAAGATTTTGATAGTGAAGTTAAAGCAGACTTATAAGGACCCTTCTTGAGAAGCTAGTGAGACTAGAGCCACAGGCGATGAGGTTGGAACCTTGAAATTTCTTCACTTGCATTTTGATTTATCATGAAAATGACTGAATAGCAAGAATCTCAAAATCAATTCAATTTAAAAGATTAATTGCCCTAAAAAATAGTCTGTTCCATTTTACTAGAATATTGTGTTCTAAAATGAGTATCAGGACAATATTGACTATTTATAGTATATACAAAAGAACAAAAAAATTGTTATCTGGAGCCTAGTTATTGGTTAATCAGAGGTTCAGATGTATATCACAACACAAGCAAAGATAAAAAGGTAAATTTCATTACATCAATCTTTAACATCTACAACTCCTCCGTACAAATCTGAAATCTTGCTTCAGCTTTGGCCAAACAAAAAGAACTTATCACTTTACAGATTCGCTCTTCCCCACTTCCTATCATGAGAGCTAGCCTATCATCAAGAAATTAGTTAAGGGTCAAAACAGGCTTCGAGAAGAAAGAAAAAAGAAACATTTCAGTTCAGATTTGACCTTGTTGTTGAGCTATAATGTTGCCTCCAATAGGCTCAAAGACTGCAGAACCGTGTGAAACTACTTCATTTGTCATTACAACAGCCACACCAAACTACAGGTAAAGAATCAGAAAAAATCATTAGCTCCAAACTGATGATGTATATTTATCAAGAAAGTCAAACATACTATGCTCTGTAACTTAATATCCTAAGGCAGAATCTTGAATTAGTTTGACCGAAAAGGTTAAGTGCACTGCCAGCCTAACAATGAGTTTTACCTCATCTGCTAATTTCTGAAGGCTCCTCAGAAACTTGCCTAGATGCATTTGCTGGGCTGAAAGCTCTCCCGTTCCAGATAAATCTGTTCTATAGAGGGCAGTAACACTGTCTACTATCACTACAGCAAACCTGTGTATATCAATCAAAATTTAAGCTTTGCCACCCAAACAAAAAGAGCTTTCTCACTTGCAGAATCAAATATCACCATTTAAGGAAATCTAACAACTCTGGGTCTGGGCCCAAGAAAAAAAAAGAAACACAAAGGAATAAAACACAGCCACTTCATCTGGCAATAATGCTAGCTTATGATAAATCAAGATGAGCATAATGCACTTGTGTATCATTATGCATATTTAAAAGGCATATTATGTTGATTTTGGCAGATCTAAACAAAACTGAGCAATCACACCTTGTTTCCACCATCTTTGAAGCTCTGCTTGCAGCAGAAACCGTGATTGCTGATCAGTGTTATTCACTCTAACATAAGTGACATTTCCCATTACATCAGACCCATCCAATCCAAACCTGTAGCAAAAAGAAACATAAATATTGAATGGACATACCAACATATCAAAGACACATGCAGGCAAAGTCTTAATATCAAGAATCATTATACCTATCTGTTATCTGTGAGAGTAGTTGAGGCCTAAATGAGCCCCCTGTATCTATGTACATAACTTTCCCCTTAGCACCTCCTTTGTCTAGTGGCAACTACAACATCAACAATAAATTGAAACATTAGGCAAAGGTATGACACAGTATGTATGAACCAAAAGCTTCACAAACTCAAATTTCATGCCAAACATGACAAGACGAGTTTGAAATTGAATACACTACAACAACTTATTCAGCATGAATGTATTCTGACTGCCGTAAAGAAACCATTTACCTGGCAAGTGACGCAGAGAGTGAGACATAATTGAGTCTTCCCAGTTTCAAATCCCCCATATAACTCGGATAGAAATTGTCTCAATTCCACCTGGCATAAACAGCAGTATCAAGTTTAAGACACTTTAACAGTGAATTCCACACAGACATTAAACAAGGTGTTATTGTTTCTGATTCTGACCTTCCAATATCTTGTCAAGCTCACTTGGGAGAGGCTTTCATGGCAATGCAAGACAAATTGCTTGATTCTGAACAAAAGTTGCAGCAGTCTGAAGAGCAGTTTAATGATATTAAGATGCAATCAGCTAGTTTTGTGAGGACTTTGTCTTCTTTTAAGAAGGCATAAAACGGTATGCTGGGGATCTCATTTTATTCATTTTGTTGATATTATCAGGTTTTAGGTGTAGAGGGAGATAATAGAGAGAATAGTTATAAAATACTACGAAATTGATATTGACTTGATGAGTTTTGATATGTTCAACAGATCTTCCTAATAATCCTCCTCCTACTTTATAAACTAAGTATTAAATGAACAACTATATGCATTTACATCTGGAAAATATAAAAAAATATTTTATAGTTTCTCCATCTAGTAATTAGGAGAATTTGTTGGTGTAAAAGGTAAGATGATTTAGAATTATTCTAACTATGATGTGATGGTATGTTCTTGAAAGGTTAGACCACTAACCCTTGTTTATACTAATCATGATCCTAAATAAATAGAAACAAATCATGAAATACGGTGATATGGTAATCAATCTTAAGATATATTGAGGAAATAGAAAAGTGACCCTAGAAGGTAGATATTCTGAGATACGAAGTAGATAATATTGAATATTTTCATAATATTCTAAGTTTCTAACACATTTCTTTACAAATTTTATGTTTTCATGAAGTTATGTTAAAAAGGGCATTCTTTTATTTCTGTCCTAAATTATTTGGGGTTTCTCTTCTATTTCCATGTGAAATTGATCCTATAAAAGTCAGCCAGAACTTCTATTATAAAACTGAAAACAGAAAGAAAGAAAGAAAGAAAGAATGGAAGGAAGTAAGTTCTGTGGACGACATTGAACGGTCTGGCTCAAAATTTCTGTTCCTTGATTAAGAATAAATTAATGTGAATAAGTCTGCATTTTTGTAATAAAGGTTTCTTTTTATCGTATTGGTGCATTTTCGACAACAGAAGATAACTGAAAAGCAGGTGAAATCATCAAAGAGGATGATAAATTTTTTAATGTAAATGCTGGGCTAACACTTCAAACAGTTGAGTAACAAAGATATATTCTGCAAATGCTTGAGAAATCTTTGACAAGAGAAATAGATCCATCATTCAAGAGAAGTTCAAGAAACTCTAAAACTAAGGATGTATATCACAAAAAGACACAAGCAACGGAAAAAATGTAAATTTCATTATATCAGTCTTTAACGTCTACAATTCCTTCAGCACAAATCTGAAATCTTGCTTCAGCTTTGGCCAAACACGGAGAACTTATCACTTTACATATTCGCTCTTCCCCATTTCCTTTCATGAGAGCTAACCTATCATCAAGAAATTAGTTAAGGGTCAAACTTTAAGAAGAAATAAAAAAGAAACATTTCATATTCTGCAGTTCAAATTTGACCTTGCTGTTACAGCATGAGCCACAGTGTTGCCTCCAATAGGCTTAGGTTCACCACCGTCTACTTGTGAAACTACTTCACTGGTTATTACAGCAGCCACACCAAACTACAATTAAAGAATAAAAAAAAATTATTAGCTCCAAACTACTATGTTATGTAATTTAATATCCTAAGCCAGAATCTTGAATTAGTTTGACCGAGAAGATTAGGTGCACTGCCAGCCCAACAATGAGTTTTACCTCATATGCTAATTTCTGAAGGTTCCTCAGAAACTTGCCTAGATGCATTTGCCGGTCTGAATGCTCTCTCCTTCCAAGGAAATCTGTTCTATAGAGGGCAGTAGCACTGTCTACTATCAGGAGACCAAACCTGTGTATATCAATCAAAATTTAAGCCTCAAGAGCATGTTTTGCCACCCAAACAAAAAGAGTTTTCTTACTTGCAGAATCAAATATCACTATTTAACTCTGGGTCTGGGCCCAAGAAAAAAAAAAACACAAAGGAATAAAACACAGCCACTTCATCTGGTAATAATGCTAGCTTATGATAAATCAAGATGAGCATAATGCACTTGTGTATCATTATGCATATTTAAAAGGCATATTATGTTGATTTTGGCAGATCTAAACAAAACTGAGCAAAGGAAACCATCAAAAGTCACACCTTGTTTCCACCATCTTTGAAGCTGCTTGCAGCAGAAACCGTGATTGCTGATCAGTGTTATTCACTCTAACATAAGTGACATTTCCCATTACATCAGACCCATCCAATCCAAATCTGTAGCAGAAAGAAACATAAATATTGAATGGACATACCAACATATCAAAGACACATGCAAGCAAAGTCTTAATATCAAGAATCATTATACCTATCTGCTATCTGTGAGAGTCGTTGAGGCCTAAATGAGCCCCCTGTATCTATGTACATAACTTTCCCCTTAGCACCTCCTTTGTCTAGTGGTAACTACAACATCAACAATAAATTGAAACATTAGGCAAAGGTATGATACAGTATGTACGAACCAAAAGCTTCACAAAGCCAAATTTCATGCCAAACATGACAAGACCAGTTTAAAACTGAATACACTACAACAACTTATTCAGCATGAATGTATTCTGATGCCGCAAAGACCTGGCAAGTGACGCAGAGAGTGAGACACAATTGAGTTTTCCCAGTTCCAAATTCACCATGTAACTCAGTGATAGAACCTGTCTCAATTCCACCTGGCATAAACAGCAGTATCAAGTTTAAGACACTTTAACAGTGAATTCCACAGAGACATTAAACAAGGTGTTATTGTTTCTGATTCTGACCTTCCAATATCTTGTCAAGCTCTCTTGATCCTGTAGTTATCTTAATGGTTGCATTGCGTTTGGCATAGCGTTCACTACCACTAATAAAATCCATAGGCATAAGCTTAGAGGCTGTCAATAAAGAAAAGAAAGCAAACATCAGAATACCTTCATAACAATCAAAAGAAATAGCCAAGGGTAATATATTCTCAAAGTTTCTCTGGTCTTTTGCTAATCGGGGCTAAAATTCCAGAAATTAGAAATGCCAAAATAGGAATAAAGCTTGATATTATTAGAAATGCCCAAAAAATGTCATATCCGTATTAATTATTAGTCGATTTGAATCAACATTTGAGAATTATTATTCTATTAATGATTATTATATTTATGAATATTTATAGAATAATAAATATGAAATATATTCTAAATAGAAATGCTTTTTCTAAAAAAAATTGAAATTGTTTCCAAAAAAAAAAAAAGACTAGTATTCGAATATACTAATATTAGTATTGTTTTATCAAATATTAATATATTCTTACAGAAATTTAAGACAAGGTGAATAATACCTTCAACTTCAGCTTTTCTGATTCTTTTAAGCTTTTTAACATCTGTGGAGTGTATAACCAATGCCGATGCCTGACATTGTGATCAAGCATTAGGGTATCAACAGAGAACACAAAAGGGGATTTTTGCCCTAAAATATAATGGGTGTGAATTGAAATGCGAAAAAGGTATACAAAGGGAAAAAAACTAAATGGGGTGAGTAAAAATATAAAAAAGAAGATATCTTTGAACCTTAAGTTGCTCGACAGCTTTCTGGTTTTCCGATTTTTCCACCCTGGTTGACATCTTCGATCTTTGAGAAGTGATGGATGGCAGAAGGAAGAACGAGAGATTGTGTGATCAAAAGAGTGGGAGGGACGCCAAGACCGAGGGCTTGTGTGTTCAAAAGAACGAAGCTTACTTATATAGTTTTATTCTGCCTCCCACCCTACTTCTTAAGATGAGGATCCATATAAAAAAAATAACTTGGGTTTAAAACCCTAACATAAATTATTTAATTATAAAAATATTTTGTTCTAGTAATATGTTTGTGATATATTTTATATTTTTATATGTTTTAATTTTCTATTATTATAATAACACATGAAAATTTATTTATTTCTTTTCATATTTCACTTTTATTTGATTTTAGTTAGATTTATTTAAATTTTAATTTATTTCAATTATATGTTACTTGATATTTCTTTCTCTAATCTTTTAACCCTTTTTAAAATATTTTAAATTTTTTTATATTTTATTACCATTTTCTAATAATTGTAAGAAACATTTTATAAAAAAATATAATAAATTAGGAATTTTATTATTTTCTTTTAAATTTTGTGTAACAGTAAAAAAAACAAAGTACCATCACAATTAGCATCCATTGTATTATGTTAAAATGTTGTATACCTTAATCAAGATTTTAAACTAAGCTCAATATTAAAAGCTAAAAAAGAAACATAAATTTGATTAATTAAAAAGATGATAAAGAATGTTTCATTTAATAGGTCTAATTTGTTTGAATTCCGTTAATAATTTCATGAGTTTTACCTATAATTTGGTATCGTCTAAGAAATTGTATAAAAATTCTTACAATATATTAAATAATATATTAATCTAGATGCTAATAAAATTTAAAATTCATCTACATATTTAAATGCTTTTTCTTTGGTGTTTCTGATTTTTTTAATCTTATTTCTTAAATTTTTATTTTTATATTTGTCGTTAATCTAATTCAATAAAAAGATTAATGTGACAATTTTTTATTGAATTATGTTAATAAGAGGGATTAAAAAATATATATTTTATAAAAAATTAAAATAAAAAATAGGACAAAAAATAAAATAAGTAATTGAATGTCCCAACTATTTTATATTTATGCTAATTTAAAATTAAATAATATTATTTTAACATTTTGGATATTTACGTCAAACACTTTATAGAATTATAATATTACTGTTTTTTAATTTGTATAGAGTGCATATCCAAATTGAGTGTAAAATAATATTATTCTTTAAAATTAACATATTTAGTCAAACTTTTATGAAGGTAATTAATTATCTTTTATACAAATTTATCTAGTGAGTAATTAAATTTTATTGTCACAAATTTATTTTGTTTTTATATATATTAAACCATATATGTAAATATTACTTTTTACTTTATTTTTCACTTAAAATTTATTTTTATCATCACTTTCTGTTATTTGTTACATTTTCCATTTCTCTCTCTTTCTTTCTTTCATCACTCCATACATTAATGTGATGTATATCAATATTTTAATAACTAGTCATTTTAGTGTCATGAATTACAAATAATAATATGTTGGTCGTAATTGCAACAATGTAACATGAAGCATTAATAATTAATATTAAAGCCATTAAAATTAAAATCTTTACTCAACTCATTAATGAAATAGGTTTAGCTAAAATTACAATGGAATTGAAATAATTATACCTGTAATAAAACAGAATGCATTATTCTGTAAAATAAGTCAATGAGGAAAACATGAATTATTTAATAGGAAACTTTTTAACACTATCGTTCGTTTAACTACTAATTGTTCATCCCTGATACCCTCGTCATTTAGTTTGTTTAACTTCGGCAAAAAACAATTTATCAGGAAGGATACCCCAGTCTTTTGGCGCTTTACTACAAATTGAGTCGATTAATTTAAATAGCAACAACTTCTCTGGTGAAACTTCATCCTTGACCTTTTTGTAGCCGATTACGATTTATTGATTTTGGGAATAACAATATCTCCGAGGAACATTACCAGCATGGGTAGGCCATAACTTGCCACAATTGATGGTGTTGCGTCTAGAGGCAAATAAATTCAATGGAAGTATACCTACAAGCCTATGTAATCTTCTATTTCTTCAAGTGTTGGATCTCTCTAGAAATAATATTAGTGGGAGAATTCGAGTGTGTCTCAGTCGCATAATTGCTTTATGAAATACGACGTTTTCAGGACAGACAATGGTTTATCCAATAGATGATACTATGTTTATAGTTCCTGATCAAATTCACAATTTCATTAACAAAGCAACGTTGGGATGGAAAGGACAAAAGCAAGAATATGAGAAAAATCTACGACTTATGACAATCATTAATCTTTCTTGCAACCAATTAACAGGAGAGATATCCAAAAGTATAACAACACTTGCGGCATTAGCTGGCTTGAATCTCTCAAGAAATAATCTCACAGGATTCATTCCCTACAACATTGGTCATATGAAAATGTTGAAATCACTTGACTTGTTAGGAAACCATCTCTTTTCTCAGTTACATGGACTTGTCTTTCAACAACTTGTTAGAAAAAATTCCACAATGCACTCAGTTACAAACCTTCAATGCCTCTGCATATAAAGGGAATACTGTGCTTTGTGGTCCACCACTCCCAAATCATTGCCAAGGGAATGCTGTTTCGCCAATGGAAGTATCAATAAAAATGGAGTTGAAGAAGATGGAGACGAAGATGAACTCATAACCATTGGTTTTTACATCACCTTGGGGTTTAGATTTTGTGTTTGTATTAGATAAGAAACTGAATACCTTTTCAGTCTTATCCAAGGACAAAAGGTATAAGAAGAAAAAAATCAAATACTCATTCGACCTCACTCTAAAAATACCGACACCCTTTCGGTCGTAACATTAAAATAATAAGATGATTAACCCAAAAAGGTAAGATTAATTACTCCAATAATTAGAGGTTTAATCTAGGGTTGACTTATCAAAGCTCATTAGTCTAATATAATGCCTATAAAAAGAAAGTAAAAGAGAAAGGTAAGGAGAACCTTTTTGAACATTTAATTAGCATTTATCACTTAAAACCGAGCTCTTATTTGAGCTTTGGAGTGCCTTTTGCAGCTACCCTTCCTTCTCTTCACATACAAAGACATTTGGAAGCATTCCTGGGAAACGTCACCATTATGATCAGCTTAGTGTATCTATACAGAAACATTTTGGTGCCCATCGTGGGGCATTAACCGTCTCAACCGTGAACTAGACATAGCGTTAACAAGGAGCCAACACGAGGGTTCGAGCCAGCCATGGGAGTTTCCTCACCAACAAGACAAGAACACACCAAATCAGCCTACACCTGAGGTCCTGGCTGAAAGGGGGGAAGATGAGGACCTCTCCTTGGTAGTAAAACAGCCGAGGACCGAGATGATGCAAATACAACGCCAAAAAGAAAAAGACGTTCTCGAATTATCGGCTCTATGTAAAGAGAATGCTAACATGCGAAGTGAAATTAGAACTTATATACCTGCTCATACCACACCTTTTATTCAAGAGCAAGGGGAATCATCAGCTTGGCAAGAAAAGCTGAAAACATTCTAACAGGAAAAAACTATTACTCCTTCAAGTGAACAAGACAGGACACCGGGACGAAGTCCATTTACTCAAATGATTATGGCAGCTAAACTGCCGGATACTTGGAAAGGTATAACATTGGAGAAATATGATGGAACTTCTGACCCTAAAGAACACATAGATATATTCACGATTCAAGTTGGCTTATACACGGACAATGATGCTTTACTATGCCAAATATTCCCAACATCACTCCACGAGCCAACCCTGAACTGGTTTACTAAGTTACCTCCCTCATCCATTGACTCATTTGCAACACTTATCACACATTTTACTATACAATTCACCACAAGTCATCCTTATTAGTGATGAATGATTTGATTTGCATAAAGATTTGTCGCTAATTATCATCAAAGTATGCAGAAAAATTAATGTAGTTTAAGATGCAAGTCTAAGTTGTCTCGTGGACATTGATTGAAAACACCCATCAAACATGATGAAAACATTACTAAGAAAATAATTAAAAGAACAAAAATGGGGGGGGGGGGAGGGGGAGTTTGTTGATTCCAAGTTTAAAGAGATGCAGAAGTTAAAATTATAAAACTCAATCAATAAAGTGTAGTAACCCCTAGTTCATTCACATGATTCTATTCTCATTCCTCTCAAAATTTAACACTCTTCCTCTTTTTCAGAATTAAGTTGATTTAACAAGCGAAAATCAGTCTTAATGTCTCATACAAAATTAAGCAATTTTAATAGGCTCCAATCTATTTTTCCAGGATTAAGCAATCATAGAAATAAACTCAAAATTAAGCAAACCAAGTTTAGAATCGTATTAAAATTAGTTAGAGTTAATTACACAACATCTTCCTCATTCAACCATTAATTCAATTCAAGATATTGAGAAGAAGAAATTCATGAAAGAAAATTATTTGTATTAACATTCAAAACCTAGAAATTCAAGAATTTGAGTGAACTCACTAGGGATTACAAAAAGGTTCAGCCTTCCATAAGGATGAGTCTCACAAATACAAAGTGAAAATAAAGAGAATTCAATAACATCAATGCAAAAATCAAAGCAAAGTAAAGAAGAAATGAAAATCAAACCCTAGGTTGGACCTTTAGCTGTCACCTAAGGTTGACCTAAACTCTGCAAAGTATCCTAATTTGGTAAAAACTGTAAAGTTTAAAAAGTCTTTTAACCCTAATTTTCAAAAATTTATTTATAATGAAGTAGACGTTTTCCATAGTAGCTACTATTGTAAATGATAGTAGCTACGTGCAGCTCTCAGATTTGCCCACCCTTTTTGTAATAGTCACTATTGCAAGTGATAGTGGAGCGTGCGTAGCCACTATTGTTTTTGAAAGTGGCCACGTGCAGTTCTGCGTCAGTTTTGCACTCGCTGTAGTGTCTATTATTGTTTGTGATAGTAGATACGCGTAAGCCTATTGCGTTCTGGGCTTCCTGTAGTATCCACTATTACATCTGAAAATAGTCACTTTGGTTTGTCCTCTGAATCTAGCTTGTTGTAGTGGTCACTATCACTTTTGAAAGTGATCACTTTCACTTCAAATTTTTTTTAAGGCCAAAAATTCATAAAATAAATTTGGAAATTGTTGTATAATTATTCAAATAATCAAAGTTATAACCTATATCTATGTAAATCAGTATAAATTAATAAAAAATTAAAAAACCTATGATATTTTACTTGAATAAGATTTCTATGTTATTTACACTCTCTAAGTGTACTTTTTTTTTATTAAGGAACATAAAAAAGACAAGTAAAAATTCAATAAAATGTGGATTCATCACAACCTCAAACTTAGACTCTGCTTGTCCTCAAACAAATCAAAATTCAAGGAACTTGAGCAATAAGGGTTAGATTTATCCAAAAAATTTCCTCAACATTTTTCATTCCAATAATTTTAGACATCTATCTGGCACTTCTTCCAAAATTTCCGCAATCATGGACTCATTCAACAGATAAATCACACTCTTGTCAAATATTTCATGCAAAGTCCCACTAAACTCAAACAAAAACTCGGCAAGATTTCATGTGACTCATATAATCCAAAGAAATTATCTAACTAACAAGATGATGTTTCACTCTTCACTCAATAACATTTTGGATTAAGTGTTTCTCCTTAATTCATGCATTTTACCTCACCCTACCATAGGCTTGCCTATTCTCAATCTCTTTTACCTAAATACAATAAACCACCTATATATCAAAAATGATTAAAGAGAATATATAAACATGAGAGAGGTATCTAAAGAAAAACATGAATGATATATATATATATAAAGGAGAGGAAAGAGTAAGAGAAGAACAAAAGTTTCAAAAACAAAAGTGCCAAATTGCCAGCTCTATTCATAATTCTTTTCACTTTCCCTCCTTTAAAGTGAAGTTCATTGTAACTAACATTTACAATCAGACATGGTAAAGCTGGTCAGTCTTTAACATCTACAACTCCTCGAGCACAAATCTGAAATCTTGCTTCAGCTTTGGCCAAACAGGGAGAACTTATCACTTTACAGATTCGCTCTTCCCCTCTTCCTTTCCTGAGAGCTAGCCTGTCATCAAGAAATTAGTTAAAATCCAGGGTCAAAACAAGCTTTGAGAAGAAATAAAAAAGAAATTAGTTCAGATTTGACCTTGTTGTTGTAGCATGAGCCATAATGTTGCCTCCAATAGGCTTGACTTGAGCTCTACCAAAGACTGCAGAACCGTCTACTTGTGAAACTACTTCATTTGTTATTACAACAGCCACACCAAACTACAATTAAAGAATCAGAAAAAATTACTAGCTCCAAACTGATGATGTATATTTATCAAGAAAGTCAAACGTACTATGTTCTGTAATTTAATATCTTAAACTCAAATCTTGAATTAGTTTAACCGAGAAGGTTAAGTGTACTGCCAACGCAACAATGAGTTTTACCTCATTTGCTAAATTCTTAAGGCTCCTCAGAAAATTGCCTAGATGCATTTGCCGGGCTGAAAGCTTTTCCCTTCCAGAGAAATCTGTTCTATAGAGGGCAGTAGCACTGTCTACTATCACTACAGCAAACCTGTGTATATCAATCAAAATTTAAGCCTCAAGAGCATGTTTTGCCACCCAAACAAAAAGAGCTTTCTCACTTGCAGAATCAAATATCACTATTTAAGGAAATCGAACAACTCTGGGTCTGGGCCCAAGAAAAAAAACACACAAAGGAATAAAACACAGCCACTTCATCTGGTAATAATGCTAGCCTATGATAAATCAAGATGAGCATAATGCACTTGTGTATCATTATGCGTATTTAAAAGGGATATTATGTTGATTTTGGCAAATCTAAACAAAACTGGGCAAAGGGAACCATCAAAAGTCACACCTTGTTTCCACCATCATTGAAGCTGCTTCCAGCAGAAGCTGTGATTGATGATCAGTGTTATACGCTCTATTACAAGTGACATTTCCCATTACATCAGACCCATCCAATCCAAACCTGTAGCAAAAAAACATAAATATTGAATGGACATACCAACATACACATGCAAGCAAAGTCATAATATCAAGAATCATTATACCTATCTGCTATCTGTAAGAGTAGTTGAGGCCTAAATGTGCCCCCTGCATCTATGTACATAACTTTCCCCTTAGCACCTCCTTTGTCTAGTGGTAACTACAACATTAACAATAAATCGAAACATTAGGCAAAGGTATAACACAGTATGTACGAACCAAAAGATTCACAATCTCAAATTTCATGCCAAACATGACAAGACGAGTTTAAAACTGAATACACTACAACAACTTATTCAGCATGTATGTATTCTGACTGCCGTAAAGAAACCATTTACCTGGCAAGTGACGCAGAGAGTGTGACACAATTCAGTCTTCCCAGATTGAAATTCACCACATAACTCAGTGATAGAACCTGTCTCAATTCCACCTGGCATAAACAGGTTTATCAAGTTTAAGACACTTTAACAGTGAATTCCACACATAGACATTAAACAAGGTGTTATTGTTTCTGATTATGACCTTCCAATATCTTGTCAAGCTCTCTTGATCCTGTAGTTATCTGAATGGTTGCATTGTGCTTGGCCTGGAGTTCACTACCACTAATAAAATCCATAGGCACAAGCTTAGAGGCTGTCAATAAAGAAAAGAAAGCAAACATCAGAAGACCTTCATAACAATCAAAAGAAATAGCCAAGGGAAATAAAAGCCAAGGTGAATAATACCTGCTTCGATAATCTTGTCAACTTCAGCTTTTCTGATTCCTTTAATTTTTAAAAGGTCTTTCCTGACAGTGTTGACAACGGATTCAACCGTGTAAATACCAGCATCTTTAAGCTTTTGAACATCTGTGGAGGCTATACCCGATGCCTGACATTGTGATTAAGCATTAGGGTATCAACAGAAAACACAAGGGGGATTTTTGCCCTAAAATATAATGGGTGTGAATCGAAATTCGAAAAAGGTATATAAAGGAAAAAAAAAAAAACTAAATGCGGTGAGTAAGAATACGAAAAAGAAGAGATCTTTGAACCTGAAGTTGCTCGACAGGTAGAGGGCCATGTTGAATTTCTTCAGAACCGTCATGTTGTTGGACAGCTTTCCGCTTTCTTGAATGCTGCACGCTGGTTGACATCCCGTAAAACTATTGTAGAGGTTCTAATTTTATTAGAAGCTGTATGTTTCAGCGTAAAGAACAAAACTTACAAGCTGTAGATGATGACATAAAACTAACAATGCATAACATGCTTTCCTTTAACATCTAAACACTGCATAAAGTACCTGCGTGCGAGGCAAGTGAATTTTGTTGCTCCGAATCTCTGTTGCTGCCAATCAAATCAGTGCGATTTTTTTGTCAAGAAAGAAATCTAGGTTTAGAAGAAACGAGAATAATAAATCTGATTTCCTAAAATTTAATCTGATTTTAATATATTAAAACCAATTTATAACGGTTGGGCTTAGTTACAGATTTAGTTTTCTAATCTTTTAAAAAATTTAAATTTTTAAACCGGTTGAATTTAGTTATGGGTGAACTTTTATATTTGATTTTTTTTGCAGCCTTAAATGTGTCTTCAATTTTTTTCTTTTAGGAATTGTAATCATAAAGATTTATATTTTCACGAACGTCAGAATACAAAAATTAAAAATAAAGTGAAGGCATTACAAAAGCAATTAATCATTGATACCGTATTTTAAAACATAAATCATGCATGACACTGCTGAATGCAGGTTTTACATCTAATAACAAATCAACTAGAGAGTTCAGAGAAGTAACGGTTGTACTCTGTAAGAGGAGAGGTAAAATCATGTCTCAGCATCTGACATAGCAGCACAAACTAATGTATCCACTTTGTCAAATTCTCTATTAGGAAGTGCTTGAGCTGAGTCCCGCAAATTCTCTATGGCTTCTGAGTATTCCTCAGCACAATCACTTAAGCAACGGGACACGTAAATGTTGTTGTTGGGGCCATTGGCAGTAAAAGAAGACTTTAGCTCATGAATATAGGACAAAGTCTCCGCAGCATATGTTGTGCTAAGATTTAATGCAATATAAGCTAGAATTTTGGGATTTGATTTCTTGCTACCAGGAACTGATTTCAAGGAAGAAATGCATACTTGAAAATGAAGGGTGTGTTTGCAGGTTGCTGTCACCAAATCCTCTCCTCCTTCTGTGTTATGTATCCTACCACATTGACCCAGCAAAACAAAGCAAATCATCAGCACAAATTGGTTATAAGTCTTTCTTGATGCCATTGTGTAAGGTTTGTGCCTATGCTGGTGTGTCATATATAAGTTTATTTTCATGTAAAAATAAATTGAAAATAATATCTTTAATTATAAAAATGGTGAATTTGGTTTAAACTAGGGCAGTCCAGTAGTTTAGACTAGTTGGATAAACTTAAAAAATCAAATTAAATTAACTAACTTAGTTTGGTTTAGTTTGGATTATATATTGCAGTTTAAACCGTATCAAACTCAAACAACTTTGATTTAGGTTTAATGAAATTTAAATTAATGGAACTCCGTTTTATGTTTCCAAAATTAATAAATCAAAATTCTCTTTCTGTACACACTGCAGTTTTATTTTGATTAAAGTCAATAGTTATCGAAATCAATCAACTCGAACTTCTTAGATTTTATTTTATTCTTTCTTATGTGCATAACAAACAGTGTCATTAAGTTTAGTAAGAAAGATGGGTATCTAAACCGATTAATCTAAATTTCCTCTACAGTACCATTTGTGTATCAGTGAAATTTGATGCAATCCTTTTTAACTAGTTCACAATATTCTACCTTGAAACAGTACCAAAGTAATATATCATCCAACAATTTCATATACATATACAGCAACATTTTATTGAAAATAAATTTTATTAAACCAACTATCGATGATTAAACTAGATATTTATACTATTTAATAACATTTTAAAAAATATAAAATTAATACAACTGTATTTAAAGTTTCTTATCAAGTAGATTAATTTATAAAAAATAAAATTATTTGTTATTTCGCTGCATTATTTTATTTTATCAGATAATACGTACGTTTAAAGTTCACGGAATGAACTTTCTGAAAAGTTAAATTAAACAATTGGACAATTGAATTAAGAAGATTAATTTTTGATAAAATTAATTTTGCTGAACTTAAGCTGGAATTGAAATGGTTACGCTTGAAATAAAATGAAAGACATGTTTCTGAAAAATACCAATTAGCAGAACATGATTTATTTCATGGGAAAGCACTGTCTAGCACAATGATCCATTTAGCTACTCTACTTGTTCATCCCTGTTGCATTCTTCACGGCATCAGCAGCTTCTTGTACTTTAGCCTTCATTTGCTGTCCGGCCTATACATAATTAACAGAATATAAGCTTTACTTTTAGGGTTCTACTTTATTAACAGTTATAAAAATAGAAAAATGTTTTTTGAGGATATAAATGGAACAAAAAGAGTTTTTTTTTTACAGTATATATACTGTAAAATTGTTTACGATGTTGTCTATTATTTTTATGTTCGAATAATATAACTGTAAAATTGAACCAATATTTTAAAATTAATTTTCACCACATTTTTATTAAAATGCGTGTGTGTGTTTTTTCAAAGAATGAAAAAATAATCTTTTAAGAGTAAACCCACCGGAAATTGAACATGCGGTTATTAGTGTGTGTTGCATATACAAATCACATTATCATGATTAAGACAAATGGTAACAAATAAAACTAGGAACCTCTTGCATGGATTCTTGAGCAGACTCAGCAGCATTGCTAACCTTGTCCATCAAGGTGCTAACCTTTTCCTGAAACAGCACAAAAATTTGTCTGGGTTATCAAAATTGAGAATGTGAAGTGACCATAGCAGTGAAAAGATTAAGAGACCTGAGCTTGGCCGTGGCTTGTCCTGCTTGGTAGCTCATGTTTTGGGAGTCCATATCTTGATTCTTCTATTAAACTGTTGTAATCAAACCAAATATTTTGAAAATCAGGTGTTGTTTTAGTTTTTCTGATGCATATTTCTTACTTCCTGTTGTAACTTATATAGTTTCTTAATGCATTGTAGCATTCAATACGTGGTTTTTCTCATGTTTTCTTACACCAATTCCAATTCACAGTTTGCTCCTTCACAAGCGTTTTCAAGGGCACATGTCATGCCATTCTTGGAAAGTTGCTAACCTTAGCTTAGATGGGATCTTATCTTATCTTTTTTTTTAATAATAGGACAATTTTGATTTGATGTTATGGTTGAAATATTTGTTGCAAAAGTGTTCACAGGTGTGTGTTGAATATTTTAAGTGAACCTTAACTATCTAAGTTATATCATATAAGCATGAATGCTACTGTCATTAACAGTAAAAAATGGTAGTAATAGAGATCTAAATGAGGCAAATTTTATTTAAAATCGAAGGTTGATTTGTAAAAAAGAAATACCTTAACATGAGTCATTTATTTAAATGTGTAAAAATTAAATCTTAAGCTTCATTAGATTAAAATTTTTTGAAATTTTAGTTTGGTTTATTATTTTGTTTCCAATTTGTTTAGTTTTAAAAAAATTATAATCATTTATTTAGAATATAATTTATTCAAATATGTATCTAATATATAATAAGAACCTATATTTTATTGGAAATTGTATGATACTATAACTTAATAAAATACATATCCTAAAATCTTCAGCCTAGATCACTCCTTAACCAGACTCCTCAGCAGGTAATTTAGACGTTCTACCTGTTACTTCTGCTCACGTATCATTGTAGCACAAACACATAACAATACAAACAAACACAAGGGTGAGCTTATTTAAACAAAGATCATAGTTACAAAGTATGAATATAGCAAAATCACTTGCACAACACTTATGGTTTACAGCAACTAACATAGCAACTTCAATAAAGCAATGCAGCATGTCTAGCCCCTTTTTCCAGCCCATCTAATGCAAATGCAGCGATTCAATTTTCATCTGGTTTCACAACCTAAGTAATCCATAGAAACTATTCTAGTCTAGGAGAGATCCATCCCGGTGTCTGGATCCAGACAAGCATAGCTCAGTGTTTTATGCAGTTTTATGATGATGAAAATGAATGTGGTTTAGCACAATTAAATCAGTAGAATACAACAACATTAAATCTAATTTCAAATTCAGCAATACAACAATGTATTCATTTTCATCCAGTATTGACAGCATACCCATACATATACTAGTACAATAAAACTAAGCATTCCACAGTATTAATTAAATATTCCAGCATTCATTGCATAATAAAATTAAACTGCTTAAAACATTATTTAAGTATTCTTGCATATTTAACATCCTTGGCATATACAACATGTCATGTTCTACCATAACTTTCCAAACAATTATCAAACAATAAAGAAATATACTTAACCATACATTCTTTGGGTTTTATCCTAAAACTTGTTCCTCCAATAGCTAATCCTTATTTAATACGAAATCATCTATCTCATGAACCAAATCAGCTTAGGTAAGTAACTAAGGAATCTATTTAGCTATACTACTTTAGGGTTTATTTTAGAATCTGATTATTCAACGACTTATTCTCAGCTATAACAGGACTAAGTTCACCATTAACTTCGTAATTACTAGACGAATAAATCAGCTTAGGTAAACTCCCTTTACCTGGGACGAGTTCCAAGATCTTGCTCCTAATGGGTCCCAAAGAGATAAATCAACCGTTTGGGTATGATCTATAGCTTGGACGGCTTAGATCTACTCAGAACAATACGATTTAAGTCTCTTGAGAAAGAGAAAGCAAGAAACATAAGTAAAGATGGAGAACTGAGCTCCAAAAACTCACCTAGATCTTGAAGAGATAAATGATCTCACTTTAACCAGGAAGAAATTCGGCTTGAAGAAAGTTTTCTCTAAAAATAAGAAGTGAGAGAACAAAGAGAAATGGGAGAGAGAAGCTATATAGTGAGAAAATGAATGTTTCTAGCATTGAGGCCCCTTAAAGATTTGCGCGTACTCGCTCAAGCAAGCTAATTCTCACTTGAGCGAGCTCCTCTCTTACCTGGGCGAGCTCACCCATGCCTGGGCGAGAAAACCAAATAGTGAAACCTCCCAGATTTCTGCAATTCTCGCTTGAGCGAGCTCCATCTCGCCTTAGCAAGCAGCATTCTCGCCTGAGCGAGATCAGTTCCAGAGAGTCACCTAGTTTTCCTACTACTCCTTGCTTGAGCGAGCTTCTCTTACTTGAGCGAGAAAACTCCATAATGTTTCATTTTGCACAACTCAGTCTCGCTTGAGCGAAAACTACCTTGCTTGAGCGAGACACTCAGCATCCAAAACTCTCAATTCCTCCTAAAATGAAACAATATAAGCCCTTGGCTATAATTCTTAAGTTATCACACATACAGCCCACTTAAAACTCAATCCCTAACCCACACTGCTACTCACGTTTAACAACACAATCATACATCACTACAATAATAATGCTATCTAAGGAGCAAGGCTTATATAAAATGTTTGATATCTAATCAAAACTCTCGCTACTATTCTTATTCAACAACCAACTAATCGACACTGCAACTCCCAACTTCTAACCCGTAACCAAACGACTTATCCACTCATATTCTAGCATATGAGATTTCATATTATCCAAATATATGTAACATGACTTAATAGAAATAATTCATTTATAAATATGTTGGCCTGACATCTTCTATCCTAAAGTTCAATATTTTGTGTCTTTTCTTACTTAACTCATATGCATTCTAAGTAACTTAGCCTTAAAACTTCTTGATGTTATTCTAAGCCATAACTTTCTCTAAGAATCCGATTTCATTAATTTCAAATAAACTTAAAACCTTCCTTTATAACAAAAATACACTTTAATCATATGATTTCATAAAATTTATAATTATTACTAAAACAGTTTACTCAAATCCCTATGGAATCACTATATATATATATATATATATATATATATATATATATATATATAAGGCTAGAGAATACTCCCTTTACCTGGTAACGGTTCCTCAAAACTAGTTTTCTTGAGAGATTCCATGATATCAACAGAGATATAGTCCAAAAGATGAAGTTTCCTAAGTATTTCAAGATAGATGTCTTAATATGAGAAGAAAACTGAAGAAAAGGAATAAAATAGAGATCTGAGCTCTGAGAAATTTACTTAGATCTGAATAAAATTGATGTTTAAGATAAGATCTGGAAGAGATTTGTAGTCTGTCAGAGTTCTCTTTAGAAAGAGGAAGGAGAGAAAACAGAAAAAATGAAG